AATTTCATTATGAACTTTTGAACTTGGCAACGAATTTGCGAAGTTCGGAACGAAGTTCGGAACATTCGAGTGAAAAGTAAGTTGAAATCGACTGTAACCAATCAGACACGTTTGATATATCCGATTAACCAATCATATGCATTTGATATATCCGATTAACCAATCAGATATCATAACAGGGTGTTAGCCAGAAAAAAGTTTTGTCCGTTTAACCGTAAATTGGGAAAGTTTTTTTGACCGATCAAAGTCCTTGTGTAGGAATAAATAGTGTTTTTTCCAACGTGTTTCTCCTTAGATGCAAACAACGGTAGCTTGTTTTTGTACATTTCGTTTCCGGTGAATGAACACTGAAAAATGCACCCGATGGTACTTCGTTTTGTATACTTCATTTCCGGTGAATGAACACGGATGCACACCGATTACACTCTGTTTTGTACATTTCAGTGAATACACACCCAATATGAATGAAACGCGATACATTTTGAGAAAATAGTTAATAATGGGAAAAAGTAAATAAAACGTTCTTTGATATAATAATATAAAATCAAACGCAATGCACTTTCTCATCAGAAAAAATGAAAATTTTCCAGTAGACCCAGTTGGGAAAGCCCCTTAACTACTTCAATTGGGAAGAGTCCGTCAAACGGACAGTATATGGGCTAGCTAACACCCTGCCGATAAGTATGCACAACTATTAACACTTTTTTATTCCACTAAAAACAAAACAGTAGGACAAACCTTTTATCAGGGCTAATTCCTTTTGTTATATTTGACAACATGTTAACAAGCGGTTCCTTTGAAGCTTGTGCTACAGAAGAGAATCATGAGGGATAGAGTTTTGTTTTGGTGATCGAGACATTGGTTTTAGCACTTTCTATCTTTTTAATTGTGACCTAATTATTCAAATGTATTGTAGAATGTGACTATAACAATCTCATCATAATATCGTAATAATATGCACTATAACAATCTCATCAATAGCAACCTCTATTGGGAATGCTTGAATGAGATTGAGGCTTATTATAGCCAGTATAAATACAACAATGATTACTCACGATGATATTTCATTGTTGTTTTCACAGCTCCGATTACTAAAGATCTTGAATAGTTATCACTGCAAAGTAAAGTAATCCAAAATATTATACCTCAACTTCAAATTGTCCAATCAGAAAGCTCAGTTTGTGGCACGTGAGCATGAAATTAATCGCGATATCACGCCTTATGTCATCAATTAGCGAGCCTGCGTTCCTTTTGACAATGTTCCATTCCATGTTCCCCGGGTATGCATGTGTCAAGTTTTACATTCTCAACTTGGAGGCTTTTCATTTCCGATATAATATATCATTTATAGACCCTCCGCTCGGGGGATTCGGCGAAATATTACCCTCAGTGATATTTAAAAATGTCACTGAGGGTAATATTTCGCCGAATCCCCCTCGCTCCAAGTCTATAAATAATAAATGTTACACACAATGTTAAGGCCATGTTACACGGTGCAATTTTTCTTGCAACTTGCAATGCAATTCTACTCTTGAAAGATGTAAAATTGCCAAATACGAGCCTTCATTACACTCCGCTGATGTTTTCTCAACATATCGAAAATTCTTCACTGATTTTACTAATTAACATCTCTCAAGAGTAGAATTGCATTGCAAGTTGCAAGAAAAATTGCACCGTGTAACATGGCCTTAAGTAAAGATTGTCATTTCCACTCGTGTATGAATCAACTTGACACGGCTGTGAAAACGGAAAGAAAACTTAAGATGATACTGGGACAAGACATCGAAATATATTTCATTCTTTAGCATTACAAGTCTTCGGTAAATACAAATGCATCTAATCCAAAATTACAGTAAAATTTAGTTCAGTATTCCATTCCGTTTCTACATTTGTGTCATCACCATTACAAGCAATTAAGTTCTCAACAAACTCTTTTGTGCAAAATAGTTTATGATAAAACCTGGTTCACACTGGTAATTTTGTCGGCGATTTTGTGTTTCGGATCCGAGAAAATTTTGAATTTCTAGATTCATTAGAACGCTATTTTACGTATTTTTAATTAAGACCAAATTTGAAGAAAAGTTACAACCACAAAAAGGCATCTTTAAGTCGCCAAATGTTGTTAGATCGAAAAAATATTGATGTAAAACATTGTACTGTACAAGCAAATATAACAGCAAAATAGCACGATGTCTTCGTTTTTGTAGAAGTCGGTCATGACTGCTATACTATGCGCGCAAATTCAAGTTCAAATGTGCTTTCAACCACCATAGACATTTTTTACTGGAGTTAGGATTCTAGATAGGGAAGACTACAACTTTTATTGGTAAACAGGAGGGATCGGTATCATTATTCACACATCGTACCCCCCCCCCCCATATTCTGCCCGGATTTCAGCTTTTCACGAGGGCAGTCCTTCTGCCCATTGGCGGGGGGGGGGGCCTTGCTAAAGTACGCCACTGTTTCGAAATGAGAATGTGCTGAAACTTCCCAGGCATGGAGTTTATGATATACTTAAAGTAAATCACACAAAAAAGTCGGGGTCACCGAACTCGTTAAGAAGATATGACAATCACAATATACCACCTTTACCCCCAATATGGCGCCATCTTGACGCTCATTACGAGTAACAGCAAAATCACAACAGCCCGATATTTATTGACGTTTTTAGCGCGGATTTTGCTTTAGTAAACCTATCTTGTAATTATTTTTGAAAAATATTGTGTTTTGAGCAAAATGAAACTACTAACGTGTACAATTCTGATCCACAAATGTCTTTTGCACATTTCTTTACATATCTTTCTTTGAGAACATGCATTGATAAAGCATTTTTTTTCAAGATCCAGAAATGATTTTTCTTTTAATTTCGGATGTGAAATGTAAAATGCATTAAAGAAATAAATTATCAGTTAAAAAACGGGGGTCACCGATCTTTTTAGGGAATTGTGGCATTAAAACGTGAAATACAAGTAAATAAATATACTACAGACACAGGAACCCTAGCTACACTTTTGTATGCCTTTTTTGAAAACATTGATTTTAACGTAATTCTTTGCACGAATGTAACCAAAGATGTTTTGAAGTAACATAAAATTGTCATAAAATGATTTTTTTTTAAACGGTACGTATAATGAGTGAAATTATAAGTTACAAGATGTGCGCAGTAAAAGTGCGCAATGCAAAACTGCGGAATTACCTTAAGACAGTCATGCAATGTTTCAACAAATTAAAGTCTGCTTTACATTTCATCGTCGCGATCAATTTATATTTGCCAACGTGAAATAATCATGATCTTGTCTTTTTTTTTCTTTTTTCTTTTTTTTATTAAATTTACAATCATATTATATAAAAAATACACATACAGCTATGATTGAAGGATTGGACAACAGAACTAGAATCCCATACTAAGTCCAAGTCCATCC